GGCGGGCCCGGGTGCCGGCCGGAAGCGGTTTCTCGGCTTCTCCCTGGAGGCTGTCCCGGTGACTCACAGCCACACAGCCCAGCAACCCCCCACATCCCTGCCGCCGTCGTCCCAGCCCATCTCCCTGGCTGCGCTCTGAGCCCGGAGAGGGGTGGGCGGCTCTGGTCCATCCTGCCCCTTGTTCGATGGCAGGGGCCCCATCCATTAGCCTGGCATGGGCCAGCAGGCCTCTGAGGCCTAGGCACTCCCCACCCCACCAGTTGGAGGGAGACCGTGGACGCCGTCCTCGGAAAGGCTACCAGACCCCCAGTAGGCCTCCCTCGCCTGCCCCCCTGGCCCAGAGAATCCTTAGAACACCTCCCTTCTCCAGAGGCCAGGCCAACGTGGCCACGCCTGGCCCCTTGGCTGGATGCCGAGAGCAGAGCTCCGTGCCCAGTGTCACAGACGAAGAGGGGTCTCTGCCCTCCTCTGAGAGGCCAGACCTGGGTCTGAGCAGGAAAGGAACCGTAGTTGGGATTAACCCCTTGTCCCCTCACTGAGGGACACAGGGCTCGCTACGTGGGCCTGGCCCACCGCCAGTAGCCGGGCTCTTGGCGCCCCCTGCAGGCCAAGAGTGACAGGTGAGAGGGACTCCATGGGTGCCCCTCCCTCAGCGCCAAGGCAGGGGGAGCACTCTGGCAGGGCTGAGGAGGCGGGAGGCTGCTCGCCCTTCTAAGCTGAGCCTCCCCCTGCCCCTCAGCCACCTCTCGGGCCTTGTCTGCCTCCAGAGGCTCAGGCTCCTCCCTGGGCCAGACTGGGTAGAGAGGGCAGGGAGCAAGGGGCGGCTGGCCTGCTAGGCCCAAGGCCCACCTCCCATCACCTGCCCGTCTGCTAGGGAACGGGGAGGGCCTCGCAGTTACCGAGTTCCCAGGATGTGACCAGCTGACGGCAGACGCAGCGCCACCACAGAGCAGGGTCGTGGGAATGGGACCCTCCTCTCCATGGACAGATACAGGTCACACTCGGGCCACAGGCAGGGGGCGACAAGCATCTCGGGGGAAGATGCTGAGTGACAGGAGAGTGGTCTCAGAGCCAGAGCTGCCCGGGCCAGGAGCCCTCGCCAGGGCTGGCCCAGGACCGCTCTCCAGCCCCACCTTTCACAGGCCCTGAGATGCTCCGCTGCACGGCCACACACGCCTGAGCAACAGGCCACAGTGGTCGCTTGCCTTCTCTAGGCAGGGGAGCTGGCCAGCACCTGGGGAGGAAGGGAGCCAGCCTCCGCCCACATGGCAGTCCCAGTCCGCGAGCCACCTGCAGGAATAGTCTCCACCCAAGGCAGAGCCAGACTGTCCTGCCCCCTCCCACAGACCGGGTGACTTGCACACTAGGCAGATCCCGTCCTAGGTGCCCACCGGCTCGCTCGGAGAGGCAAACGAGATCATGTAAAGCGTGACCCAGGCCGAGTCCCGCAAAAGTTAGCTATCCTCGTGCTCATCCACATTAAATACCCTTTCTTAGGCTTCGGCCATCGGGCACATGTGTCTGCAGCAGAGAGGTAGAGAGACAGAGAGAAAATGAGAAGGCACCCCCATGGGAGACGGCCACACCACAGTCCCTTCTCCAGTCTCCTCTCAGAATTTTAGGCATGTACGCACACACGCCCAGCGATTTCGAAGCTGCCAAGTCTGAGACTCGAACTGCTCAGTTAGCAATCTGAGATCTAGCCACCTTAACCTCCCTGCCACCTGCTAGCCCCCGACTTTCCCAGTCATAGGTTTTTCTATGTACTGCTCAACATGGGTGTTCCTGCCTCCTTGGCTCAGGCCCGGGTCAGACCACCTTTCACGCCCAGATTTCTGTGGCTTCCGACAGCGGCTTCCACTCAGGCAGAACCAGCAGTACCTTCCCATGTTACAGATGACAGGATTGAGCCCTGGAAGCAGTGGCCGTCCCCTTCCCTTTCCTCAGAGAATAAATTTGTGCAGTGTCCCTTACAACAGGGGTCTCCAACCCCGGGACCATGGACTGGTGCCCGTCCATGGCCTATTGGCCATGGGCCACGGACCGTGCCAGGCTTCAGGGCAGCATGGCAGGGAGTAGGGAGCGGACGGGGAAGCAAGCGTTTGCAGCCGCCGCCCCTCACTAGCCTCGCTGCCTGGGCGCTGCTCCTGTTGGACTGGTGGCAGCACTGGATTCTCACAGGAGGGAGAATGCCCCGTGGGGCGATTGCTTCACTGGAATGACGTGTAGTGGTGGAAATAGGTGCATGGCAGGGTGGTGTGCTTGGATCACCCTGGTCTGCACAGGGACCATCTTCGATAAGGCCAGTCCCTGGTGCCAGGAAAGCTGGGCCACTGCAAGGTGCAGGAGCACCTTCATTGCCACCCTGAGAAAGCCCCCACCCACGGGGACCTGCTTTGCAGAGTGAGTACCCGGGAGGCCTGGCTCACTGCAAGTTCCAAGGCAGCAGCTCTATTCCACCTGGGTGGCCGAGGCTGCAGGTAGAGCCAGGGCCTGAGCTGCCTCCTAGAAGGACATGGAAGGCCCCTTTCCATTCTTGCGCTGGCCTGGAAAAGGAGGGCTTGGCCCAGACCACCTATCGGGGACAGGTGTGACCCCAGGCAGCCCTGTGCTCAGAGGCGATCAGATGCATCTCCCTCTGAACAGATGGGGGAGGGGCTTCCAGAGTCACCCCTCAGCTCTGCACCAGGTCAGCGGCCACTTGCACACCTACTGCGTGTACTTAGCCCTGGCTGGATACCGGGGAAAGGCGGGGATGAGGGGCAGGGCTCTGGGTCACCCAGACCAGCAGTCACTTCGCCTTTCTGAACTGGAACCTGGCACTTAGTGAGTGCTCAGTGGATACACACTCTGGTCCGGGGCAGGGGAGGGGGAAAGGGCAGTGGGCGGAGGTTCCTCGCAGGGCCCTGCCCTGTCCGCTCCCTTCCAGTGAGCATTTCGTCTCACTCCAGGCCCATATACCTCCTGGACCAGGCCACAAGGTGTCTGTTATCAGATAGGCCAAGTCTTTCTGGGGCCCCCTGACCGTCCCCCAGAAGGCGGCCCAGGGTCTGATGGGTATGAAGCTCAGCTCTGGCACTTGCTGTCTGTGTCACTTTGGGCATGTCACCTCTCGGCCTTCACTTGGGAAAGGGTGTAATAATTTTCAGCTCATAGATTTGAGGTGAGACCACACAAGATGAAGTGCCTGCACTAATGCCCAGCACCGAATGACCAGTGGGCTGCGGTGCCCATGCCAGGCTCCCGCAGACAAAGCATGCAGAGCCTCTGTCCACTGCGTGCCTGGGCCTGGAGGGCCTTCACATTATCTCATTTAGATTGTGGCCCCAGCTTCGGGCTATAGAAACTCAAGGAGCTTGGACCACCCTCACTGCCCATCATCCCACCTCCCAAGTGCTGCGGCAATGACTGGTCCTGCCTACAGCCCTGGGGTGTGGTTGGAAGTGAGCCTGGCCTTGCAGCCAGAAGGTGGGCCTGGTCTCCGAGATCCCTGCCCTCCCTCCCTGGGCATCTCGGCAGGGAGCAGCTGGAGGGTAACTCCAGGACATGACACTGTGCAAGGGCCACCCAGGCAGAGAGGGGTCCCATGGGGGCTCTATCCACTGCCCTCCCACAGAAGCTGCTGCTGGGCACAGAGGCCTTCTGGTGGAGCATGCACGTCCACTCCCTTGGTGCCCCAGAGCCAGGAAGGAGGGCCTGTCACTGTGTCCAGACAGAAGTCAGCAGCTGGGCCAGTCACTGGGACACGCCAACACTCAGAGACACAGGCCGGGCATAGGGCGGCCTAGGTGCGGGAGGGCAGGGCCGGGCTCCACATCACACTGCACCCCTCCCCAGGTACCTGGCCAAGCTGTCCTCGGTGGGGAGCATCTCAGAGGAGGAGACGTGTGAGAAGCTCAAGGGCCTGATCCAGAGGCAGGTGCAGATGTGCAAGAGGAACCTGGAGGTGATGGACTCGGTGCGCCGCGGCGCCCAGCTGGCCATCGAGGAGTGCCAGTACCAGTTCCGGAACCGGCGCTGGAACTGCTCCACACTCGACTCCCTGCCCGTGTTTGGCAAGGTGGTGACGCAAGGTGAGGGAAGGGCACGGGAGGAGCCAGCGGTGCTGGGGAACACTGTGCTCGTGGTGTCTGGGCTGTTCTGTCGTTTCTGAAGCAGAACCACAACTGTCCGTGTGAGGGCACGGGAAATGCACGCTGCGGGTGGCAGGCGGGGGATCCAGGCGGAGGCGAGCTTAGGCCGGGCCGTCCGAGGAGGCGCTGCGGCCTCGCGCCCTGCAGCACCCAGCGTGTAGCGTGTCCGTGTTGCTCTCGAGGAGCACCGCCCTGTGTTAGAGGAGACTGAGACTCCGGCAGGGGACAGGACTGAGTGGCCCAGGCTCCTCGGAGGGTGAAGAGTAGAGTCAGGACTCGGACCTGAGGCCCAGACCCCCCACCAGGCACTTGGCTCAGGTACTGGGACTTGGCCCGTTCCCTGGCACACCTGAGGCCATACTGAGCACTTCCAGCGAGGCGGGTCCTGAAATCTAGGCGTGGACAGCACCCAGCTCCTGTTCTCGGGGGCTCACAAGCTAGTGGGTGACAGCTGTACTCACATACCTACAGCACAGGGGGGCGCTGTGGAGGACACGCCTGTCACACTAACTGAAGACTGCCTCCAGGGGGGATGGCCATGCCGCAATCCCTTCATTCTCCTCTCGGGATTTGGGGCACGCCTGTGCATGAACCTGGCGTATTTCTCAAGCTGCCAGGTCCGGGACTTGAACTGCTCAGTCAGCCATATGAGATCCAGCACCTTAACCTCCACACCATCTGCTGCCCCCCCACTTTTTAAGTGTTTTTTTGTTTGTTTGTTTTCTTTTTTTTGGAGAGGTTTTTTGTTTTGCTATAGGGCGCATGCGCTCACCAGAAAGACAGAGAGAGACAAAAAGCGAGAAATCGCCCCCCAGGGGGGTTGGCCATGCCGCAATCCCTTCTCCTCAATTCTCCTCTCCGGATCTTGGGCACACACGCACACACGCCCGGCATGTCCAGGACTCAAACCGCGGTCAGATACATGGGAGTCCAACGACATAGCCATTACGCTAACTGCTGGTCCCTTCAAAGTGTTTTAAGTAACATGAATTCATCTAGCCCTTTGAGGTAGGCCTGCACACGGCAAGTGAGAAACTGAGGCACGCAGGGGTTAAGTCACCTATCCAACCTGAGAGGACTGCAGAGTGGCAGAGCTGGGGCCTGAGCTCAGGCAGTCCCGCTCCAGGGTCTACGCTCTTACTCAGGGTGAGAAAAAGCCATGATGAGGGGCCAGGGGAGCCCAGGGAAGGCTTTTCCGAGGAGGTGGGCCCTCAGCTGACACAGAAATGTGAGAAGGCATTAAGCCAAAGGACACAGGGCCAGGGCCTGGAGCACTGGAAGGCTCCTTGAGAGGTCACCGAGTCAAGCCCTGCCCTCGAGGAAGTGCTCAAACCAGCTGCCCCTCTTTCTACTTCCTGAGCATGAAACTGACACTTCTGGGCCACCAACAGGCGACAGAGCTCTTGACTTGCTCAGACAGCAGGAAGGGGTGCCTGGGCCAACCTTGGTCTTGGCACCTGCGGTCCCAGGCGGCCAGGGCTGCCCGGCTTGTGGCGAACCATTTGGATGTTGTTGGAAACCAACTGCAATAGAAATCTGCAAGCCACTCTCCTGCGAGCTGGCCGGGGCCGACACGGCACGCTCCTGTTTAGCATAGCTGAACACTGGCCACTCTGGAAACCAAGCAGGGGCCAGTGGGCAGACTGCGGGCGGAGGATCCCGCGGGAAGCCGATGCCACCACCGAGGGCCCAGGCACAGCCCTGCATGGTCCCCGAAGCCCCTCACACACAGCAGGTGTGGGCGACCGTGCTTCACACGGCTCCACGTGCCAGGCTCCGCGCACTTCCAGTCCCTCCCTGACCCGCGCCACACGCCCCTCCTCCATGAAGCCTTCCCAGCTCTACAGAAGGGCTCTAAAGTTCTCTGTTCTTATTTGGAGGGTGTGTGTGTGTGTGTGTGTGTGTGTGTGTGTTCTATTTTCTTGTTTTGATAGAACGTACCAAAAACACTATAAAAATAGTCTAAGACAGTTGTATAACCAGCTCTGTATTCTGACCCATCTGCCTGATTATCCCGTTTACACAGAGTGGCGCTGGAGGTACAGTGGTGAGCGCGGCTGCCTTCCTACTTACACACATGGAGTAGGCTATGGGCATGGAGCTACACAGACACGCACACGTTGTGGTCCACACCATTTGGGTTCACACGCTTCGTTATACCTCCGGCTGAACAGCTCCGTCTCCCCACCCAACCCCACGCCCCATCACGTAAGTCCTGAGCTCTCCAGAGACAAGGACGATGGCTACTTACTCGCCTCCAGGCGCATGGTAAAGCCTGGCACGTAGGAGACAGTCGATGGGTGTCATTGATGAAGAGCAGGCGGCAGCAAGGAGCCGGGCAGGCAGGGAAGGGGCGACGTGGGTGAGTGTGGGCTCGACCCCTTGAGAAGTGCCTTCCTCACCTTCAGGACAGGGACCAGGGAGGCACAGCCCCGGCTCAGTGAGCTCTAGGGGGCACAGAATCCTAGGTCTGGCTGGAACCTGCTCTGGACTGAAGGCTGAGTGGCTCAGCCACGTGGCCAGTGCCCTGGAAACGGAGTCAAGGTGTCCTGAGGCCAGGCCAGTCACAGCAGGTAGGCACCAGTACTGTGGAAGGAGTCTAAACTCTTCCTACTCATCCATCTCCTCATTCTTATTTTATTTAAATTTGAGGGGGTTGGGATTTTTGCGATAGGGCATGTGTACTCACCAGAGGGACAGACAGAAAGTGAGAAACCACCCCCGGGGGGATGGCCATGCCAGTCCCTTGTCCTCTGTTCTCAGGATTTTAGGCAAGCACGCACACATGTCCAGTGTGAGTTTTAAGCTGCTGGGTTCGGGATTCAAACCGCAGTCACATACATTCAGAGTCCCGTGACGTAACCATTACGCCATCTGCTGACCCCATAATTTCTGTTTTAATTCTATTTTTTGCTAGAGGGTTTATGTACTTGCTAGAAAAAGACAGAGAAGAGAAGGAAAGTGAGAAAGCACCCCCGTATCGAGGATGGCCATGCCGCAACCCCGTCTCCATTTTGCCCTTTTCAGGATTTGGGGCGCTCGCACACACGTACCTGGCATGTTTCTAAGGCCACCAGGTCCAGGACTCCAGCCTTGCAGTCTGCCATGTGGGATCTGGCTGCCCTAACCACCAGGCCATGGAGCCGGCCCGCCTCACTTCCGCAGTTTGGTTTTCTTCCCTAGTAATGTCCCTTTTGGAAAACTCTTCATTTGTGTCCCGAGTCCAAAGGAAAAGATGTGTCCATCCTGAGACCCGAGAGCAAAGGGCTGGCTCTGCCCATCTGGGGTCGAGAGCAGCTGGAGGGAGAGCGTGGGCAAGCAGGGCCTGGGCAGCGACCTGAGCCCTCCGAGCCTCGGCGTCCTCCCTGTCAGTGACCTCGTGGGGCCACCACCGGGGATCAGTATCATAACCTAGGGGAGGCACTCTGTGTGGACTCTGACTGTGGAGAGTCGTCCGCCAACAGTGCAGGCAAGCCTCTCCCAAGCCCTGGCATGCGGGCTGGTGCCCACATGCGGGAGCTGCCTAGCTGGGCTTGTGGCCTCAGATGTGGATGAGGACAGAGGCAGCAGGTCCCCCAGCACCCAGGCAGCGATCACAGAAGAGGAGCCCAGTGTGCTGAGGTCCTAGCATGCGCTGTTGTGCCCTGGGTCATCTCGCTGCTGACTTGTCCCCGTGTCACAGCCAAGAGGGGTGGCTCAGCAGCAGACAGGGAGCGCACCAGATCCTGGGCAAGGTCCATGACCTCCCTAAGCCCGTGTTTCCTTCCTATAAAGTGGGAAGGATCGCAGGGCCACCTCCTAGGAGTCCCTTAGTGGATTCAGAGGGTGTCTGTGAAGGGCGCTCCCTCCCACGGGCTGGTGGCGGGGGTGGGGGGCTCTCCTGCTGCCAGCACGACCCAAAGTCTCACAGGCCCCAAGTCCAGTTCCCCATTCCCCAGTAGCTGAGGCCTCTGGAGCAGGACAACAGTGAAGTGAGATGAGGGATGAGACCAGGGTGTGACAGGGCCCCGGCCTGTGACGGAGGTCCAACAGCCACCAGGCTGTGGGAGTTGAGGGGGTGGCAGTCCTGGCTAGGAGGCATAAAGGGCCAGATGTGAGCACCTGAGGGTTTACGCTGCGTCATCCCATGGCTGGACGGCACCCGCACAGAGCAGGTAACCAATACTTGTTGAATGAGTGAAAAGGTTTGATGGTGAGAGGAGGGTAGAGAGCCTGGAGGTCTGAGGAGGCCGGCCTGAGCAGGCTAGGAAGGTGGGAAGGTATTAAGAACACCCCTTCTCAGGCCAGCAGGTGGCATGGTGGTTAAGGCACTGGGTCCCACGTGCTTGACTAAGTGGTTTGAGTCCCAGACCCTATGGCTTGGAAAAACACCCTGGGTGTGTATGTGTGCTTACCCCCAAAACCCCGAGAGAACGGAGGAGAAGGGATTGTGGTGTGGCCATTCCACCCCCCGGGGCGTGCCTTCTCACTTCTCATCTTCCTGTCTGCAGTAAGCGCCACCTCCTGCCTGAGCTCTGTGTCCTCAATCAGCCCCATCCCAAGTGGAGCCCCTGCAGGCTCTGCCGGCCACGATGGGAGGCAGTGTGGTGCAGTAGTCAGAACAAAGGGAGGCTTTGCACCCACATTCGCTTTTTCACTCCCCGTGTGCCTATGCCACAAGGGATGCCTTACTGACTGACACAATCCGCCGGTGCCTCACTGAGCTCTGCTCTCACTTCTGTCTTTAATATCGGCATCAAGTTGGACTCAGGGTGGAGAACATGCCTTCCTTCCGAGTGACCTCTCTGGACAGACTCTGGATGCTATCAGATAAGTTGTGGGGACTTGGAGAGGAGGGTCCCCAGAGACACCCCCATACCGGAGTTCCTTGTGGCTGCAGAGGCCAGACAAATAGGCATGACATACAGAAGCCAGGCTAGGGCCCGATCCTGCTGGCAAGGGGCGAGCAGCCCGAGAGCACCAGGAAGCTCGGGCGGTGATGGAGGAGAAATGCAAGGTCTGGCCTGCGGGGCGGCACCGCTACCCCATGTTGGAGCTGGGGAGTGAGGCCCAGAGGGAGGCCGGGTCTCACCAGCTGCCTGGCCATGAAGCCTTTCTTCTCTCCCAGTCCTACACTGTCTCTTAAAGTCAAAGGGGCTTCCTGGAGGTGGTGTGAAGAACAGGCGGGCTGTTGCAGGTCCAAGGAGAGAAAAAAGCTGAAGGGCAGAGGATGGGGGGATAAGGCTTTCCTGGGAGCCCAGGATCCGGCCCACCTCACGGCCCCATGACTCCTGCCGGGTCTACTTGGAGACGCTTGAGTCCATTCCGACATCCACCAAGACACCTGCCCTGATGCCCGGCAGTCACCACGCCCATGGCTGCTTCCAGCTCAGCCTCCTGCTAAAATGCCAGGAGTCTCGGTTCGCCACCAAACCCTCCCTGCTCGAATGCCCTTCCTTTCAGCATCTGGGAGAGACCGCCAAAGCTGTGCTCGGGGGCACAGGCCTCGAATAAGACACCTCAGCCCCAGGTCCCACTCTGCCGTTTAGCCCCCAAGCCTGGCTTGTCCTAGAGCACAGCTGTGGGGGGTGGGTTGCTGAGACCGTCAGGAGCATGTGCAGCGTGTAGAAGGCACTGGGAAACAGCAGTCACCAGACATGCAGGACAGCACGAGCCCCTAACCCCAGCAGCCCAGCACCTTGGAACAGAGGTCAAGGTCAGATCCAGAAGACACAGAGGATGTGGACCTGTAGAGCCAGGGAACACGGCTGCTCCAGGAAGAAGAAACAGCAGGAAGAAAGGAGCCGGGTGGAGATGGCAGGACGGCAAAGAAAGGGAGCCGCACGGCTGGCACCTTAGGAACAGAGGTCCGCCTTACCTGGCCCAGGCGAGGGCAAAGTGGGCTTAGTCCTCCTGTAGCTGGAGTAAGCAAACCCGCAACCAGGAAGCAGTCCCCGCCTCCATGCCACCACACTCCCGGGAACAGGAGTCTATGTGTGAGTGGCCTCTGTGAGGAGCAGGCCCTGCAGGCCCTGCACTGGTGACCACGGTTCCATCCTGGGCGGCTAGGCAGAGGCAAGGGGTGGGGAGGGGCACCTCTGGAGTCCGAGGCTGGGACCTTGGGCCAGTTAGAGGAGGCTGGAGGAGCCACTGCCATTGGTTTAGGGGCACATAGGCTTGCACACACCCCCAAAACTTCAGGCCTCCTGGGCCGAGCACAGCCCTCTGGGCTTCGGTACGGGAGGTGGGTGGTCGGCGTGTATTCCCAGGGCTTCACGGCCTCGGGAAGCTGAGTGCTGTCAAGGGCGCGAGTTCTGGAGCCAGGCTGTCCAAGTCCGAGTTCTGACTCTACCACTTCTTGGCTTCACCTTGCAGGGCCTCAGTCTCCACGTCTGTACGACGAGGACTAAAGGGTATCTGTGACTAGTCTGTAAATCACGATGTATAAAGCGCTTGGTGTCCAGCACACTGCAAGCTCTTGCGCTTGCTATTATTACTTTCCTCCCAGAACCTCTTCTGGGCCTGCTCCAAGTGGAGAACATGGGTGTCCTTGATCCCCCAAGGCCGGGGTGAAGGGGACCTGGATGTTACCTAGTTCTCGGGGTGGAGGTCACCTTAGAGCTAGGGTTGGGTGAGGGCTGCTTGAGAGCCCAGAGGAGCAGAGAAAGGACCATGCCGGGCCAAGCACGGAGGCCACCCCCCAGTCCATCAGCCCTATCTCCTGCCTTGCCTCCCTCCCCCCCTTGGTCTTTGGGGCAAAAGACTTGTGCTGGTTCAGGCCTGGAAATACCAGAAATACCAGAAACTGAAGTCGGCCCTCTTTGGGCGGCCACAGCATAAACCCAACCAACACGATCCTGCTATTAGCCTCGATTAACTTGGAGGAGATTTCATCTCAGGCTGTCAGGCCTCCACTGCTCCAGCCAAGACCCCAACACTGCTCGACATGGCCAAGCCAGGGCAGAGTGGGCAGTGGGCAGTATCCCCAGCCCCAGGGCCAAACTGAGAACAGGGCGTCCTGCGTGCTCGGGGCCTGGGCTGCCCCCCACCCCGCGCTCGGCTTCTGCCGCCTCTGTCCACAGACACGGGCACAGAGGCGCCGATTGTTTCCGTCTGACCACGGCGACTGCTCCCCGGGGCAGCTGAGAGCACAGGCCTGGGTGTCGCAGAGGTAATTGCCAACCACGGGGCCAAAGCCGGCCCCCTCCACTCCTGCGGACACGGACAGGCCGGCAAGAGACAGAAGGACAGTCAGGGCACACAGAGGCCCTCACAGGGCCAGGAGAGGAGCAGGGCCTGCTGTCTGGTCACACCCCCAGCCCAGCCAGCCCTGCGCACTCCCACTAACACACCCCTCCCCATAAAGAGCCTCCACAACAGCTACTCTCCGGAGGCACAGTTCCTAGGAGGATAAAAACATCCATTCAGCAGGGACCAGGGGCGACACCAAAATACCAAAATAGAATCCCTGAGCAGGCATGGGCAGAAGGAAGATGGGACAAACGGGTGCAGAGGAGACAGAGCTGTGCAGTTGGATGGCTCCAGGCTGGGTGTCCGGGCCAGGATCCCTTCCCGCCTGGGACCTGCATTTCACCCTCAGGACAGGGGACAGACAGAACTCCAGGCGAGGGAGGGCTTCAGCAGACAGGCCTGCGCACCCGTCGGCAGGGCAGGAGCCACGGCTGTGGTGGTCAGCGGCACAAAGCTGCAAGGAAGCACGGCCTTCTCAGAAGGGGGCCCAGCCTCAAGGGCTGGCGCCGGGCCGTAAGGTGGGGGCCCCTCCGAGCCCAGTGGGGCCTGCTGGAGAGGCCAAAAAGGACACCAGGCCTGGGTGTAGGGCCCAGCTCTCTGCTTCGTGGCACTGCAGTCTGATCGTCCATAAAATGGCTCGAACCACACCAGCCTTCAAGAGGCTGTGAGAACAGTGTCCCACAGGCTAAGGCAAGACTGCCTGCGGCCTCACGACGGCTGGCTATGGGGTCTCGGGCAACCTCCTCGTGCAGTCGAATGAGATCACAGTGGGACCCACCTCATGGGCTGCCAGGCTCTGGTCACACAGGCGAGTGCATGAGCGCGCCATCTGTGTGCCGAGCGGGCGCCAGCACGTGCTGGCATGTGAGTTCAGCTGCCCGCTCCCTTGGGGCTCCAGCACTCAGGACGCCCCACTCTCCACCAATGAGGGGCAGGGCGGAGCCCTGGGACCCAGCTGCCCTCCCTCTGCCTCCCACAGGGACTCGGGAGGCGGCCTTCGTGTACGCCATCTCTTCGGCAGGTGTGGCCTTCGCAGTGACTCGAGCATGCAGCAGCGGGGAGCTGGAAAAGTGTGGATGTGACCGGACGGTGCATGGGGTCAGCCCACAGGGTAAGCACAGGAGGTGGTCGGGGGGAGGACAGGGGCCCTGGTCCTGCCCTCACTTACCGCAGCCCTCCATGCCCACCGTACCCCAGGATTCCAGTGGTCAGGCTGCTCGGACAACATCGCCTACGGCGTGGCCTTCTCACAGTCCTTTGTGGATGTGCGAGAGAGAAGCAAGGGGGCCTCATCTAGCCGGGCCCTCATGAACCTCCACAACAACGAGGCCGGCAGGAAGGTACCGTGGCACTGCCCCCACCACCAGGGTAGGGCGGCACAGGCGGGCCCCACAACCCACCCTACATGCAGCCCCTCGTATGCATCTGCTCCGGTTTTCAGCAGCACTGGATGCCCTCCACAGGCACTGGGCACAGCGCAGGCAGGGTGTGGGCAGCCGGGTGAGCAGCCCCGACCACACACGTATATGCACGTGTGTGTCCATACACCCAAGTAAGTGACCGAGCTACGCCTTGAACCCTCCTGTCTTCACTAAGACCCCGTTCTCGCCTGTGGCACCATCTGCCTTCTCACGGCCTTCCCCCAAGGTCCCTGTGAGATTAAATGCAGCACTGCCCTGCCCTGTCACATCACCTGCCACTCACTGTCTCATGTGACACTGCCCTGCACTGACTCCGAGTGTCCCCAGCACAGGGACGGTATCTTGCCCATCTGTCCCCCACACGGTCTACCAGCTCAGAGAACGTCCGACAGGAAATCTGATTCTGCAGAGTCAGCCCCAGAGGCCCCGATTCTGTGGTGGGGCCCCGAGCTATCCTTCCTCTGGTGACTCAGGGCCCCCACCCGACTCCACTGCCGTCTCCTGATGTCCCGTCCCCCCCTCCCCCGCAGGCTATCCTGACACACATGCGGGTGGAGTGCAAGTGCCACGGGGTGTCAGGATCCTGTGAGGTAAAGACGTGCTGGCGAGCCGTGCCGCCCTTCCGCCAGGTGGGCCACGCACTGAAGGAGAAGTTCGACGGCGCCACCGAGGTCGAGCCACGCCGCGTGGGCTCCTCCAGGGCGCTGGTGCCACGCAATGCTCAGTTCAAGCCACATACAGACGAGGACCTGGTGTACCTGGAGCCCAGCCCAGACTTCTGCGAACAGGACATGCGCAGCGGCGTGCTGGGCACGCGGGGACGCACGTGCAACAAGACATCCAAGGCCATTGACGGCTGCGAGCTGCTCTGCTGCGGCCGCGGCTTTCCCCCCGGCCAGGGGGGGGTGGGCGGGGGG